GTGTGACCAGCTGCAAACAGCCTCCAAGCCCTCAACCAGGCTGGCCAGGCACCCAAGCAGGACCCCCACCCTGATTCTGGACACCCTTCAGAGCAAACCAGCCGGCCCCCCCCCGTGCACCAGGCCTCTATCCTATGCTACACGCAGGGCAGGACAGCGCGAGCTGCCATCCGGACCCCATGTGCAGCCCTGGGCAGCGAGACATAAGCCCCGCCCCCAGCCGGGACCCTATGACTATTGGAGAGCAGGAAAATGCTACTGGGCCCTGGGTCGCTGTGGTGATCTGGCCATGGGTAAGTAGAAAAGTGCGGCCTGTAGGCAGCTCCCAGCTGTGCCTGATCCGGGAGCAGGAAAGCAAGCCCAACCTGCAGGCAGCTCCCAGCTGCGCCTTCTCCCCGGTCGCCATGGGGATCCGGGAGCAGGAGAGCAAGCCCGGCCTGTGGGCAGCTCTAAGCTGGGCCTGCTCCCCAGTCGCCATGGTGATCTGGGAGCGGGAAAGCCCTGCTTGCAAGCAGCACCCCCATCCTGGCCATAGCTCAAGGGAGAGTACAACATGCAGTGGAGGCCAGGAGCCTGAGAGATCAACACAGAGGGGCTCTTGCTCCAAGCCTCCATGGTGTGGCTGGTGGCAGGCCCCCAGCAGACACACACACACACACAGTGCCTGCTCTGAGCCTCCAATGAGGCTGGTGCAGACCGACAGACACACACACACACACACACACACACACACACACATGGGGTACCTGCTCCAAGCCTCTGCTGCCAGAGTGTGGCCATCAGTAGGACATCCACTGAGGGCTCCCAGACTGTGAGAGGGGCAGGCTGGAATGAGGGAACCCCTCCCCTCAGTGCACGAATTTTGTGCACCGGGCCTCTAGTGCCATTTTATAAAAGAGTATTGAGCACTTGATATCCTAGTGTTCCTGGAACCAATCCCCCTCCCAATACTGAAGGAATACAGAGAGGCCCTGTGTATTGGAGGGGCCAAGCCAGGAGGCACACAGAGGATTAGCAAATGTGTGCAGGTTATTATCCTCTCAACTCACATGCCCAGACCGTCCCAGCCAACAGTGGTACCTTTCAGCAAATCTGCAGGTCTTCAATAGCTTCTTGATATGAAATAGCTGCTCCTGGATTTCCTAAAGTCACAAACAAAATGGGATACTCATAATGTAATAAATAACACCGGAAATGTATGTCAAATTTAAATGTTATTTCTAACCTTGAAATGCTACAACACTATAAAACAAGGTTTTGAAGTAGAGTCTATACAGCAAGAGTTCAAGACTGAGTCCTGAAACTTGCAGAGGGTTCAGGATGGACCTAGTTTTTGTGGATCCTGAAGTTTACATAACATTGGCTTTCTTTAAGAAAAATACGCAACTATGTATAAAAGAAAGAGATACTGTCGCTTGCGACAACATGATGAACCTGGAAGACATTAATTAAGCCAGACATTAAAAAAAGGCATAGTCTCACTTGTATGTGGAATCTAAAAATGCTAAGTACATAGAAGCAGAGAGTAGAATGCTGGTTCTCGGGGACAAGGAGGTAGAGGAAATGGGAGCTGTTGGTTAAGGGGCACAGAGTTGCAGTTATGTAGAATGAATATGTCTAGAGGTCTAATGTACAGCATGATGACTATAGTTAACAATACAGAATTGAATATTGGAAATTTGTTAACAGTAGATTCCAGGTGCTCTCACCACACACACACACACACACACACACACACACACACACACAAATACATAAAGGTAACTGTGTGAGGAGATGTATATGTTGAGTAGTAATCATTTTACTATGTGTAACAAGTCATGTCATTCACTCAAACATATACAATTTTATTTAAAAGTAATGAAATTTAAAAGCTATTTGTAGATGCAAAACTATGCATAAATATAAAATTTGACATGGTGCCTTTGCAAGAACCAGTGCAGGCAAGGGGCACTGAGGCATAAACTCCATCCACTGGATAACAGTAAACCCGCCCCGCAGAGGGTCTGTCTGAATTGGGTCCCCCGTGACGGTGTAGTGTATATTTGCGGCAGCAGGACCCTTTCAGCCACTGGCCTGGCTTCCCCCAAAAGGTTGCTGCTCACCTTCACTCTGTCCAGCTCCTTGGCCTTCGCATACCAGCTGTGGCTGATGTTCTGCAAATTGAAAATGGGCTGGTGCCATATACTATCCAGCAGCCATTTGGAGAAATTGCTGACGTAGTACTTCCTGAAGTCCCACATGGTCAGGATCCGCGCAGGGATGCAGGACTCCGCATAGGAGTGGCAGCAGTCGCAGAAATATTTGCCCAGGTATTCGCAGTACCGGAGCCGCTTCACAAACTCTGTGGAGCACACAGGGGTTGAGCACCAATCAGTTGATGCTGAAAACCTACCTTGGTGGCCCCACCTCCAATTTCATGCAAGGCTCATTGCTGATTGCTGATTACATGCTGCTAATGCCATACTCAACCTCACAGCAGCTGGGAAAGTGGTGGCAGGGACTGGAGGCCTTAAATCATGGCCATTCATACGCTTTCCTTTTGTGGAACATATGTCGGAAAAATAGAACCTTCCCAACGTACTGCTGGATTTGGAAGATGAGCAGTGTAAACTGCAGTGAGACTTAGGGTCTGCCATCTGGCAGGAGTCCAGACTGGGTCTCTCATTAGCAGAAAGCTAAGGGGTTTTGGAGGTGGGCAAGTCGGAATTTCTTCAGGCTGACATGAGGCCACAGAGAGAAACTCAAAATGGGATTATAGGATACTAGAGGTGCTGGAGACCAAGATCAACAGTAATTGATATAAATGTGAGGTGTCTGGCAGAAGGCTGACTAGGACTCCTTTTGATATTCATTGGGTGAATATCTACATTTTATTGCCTGCTGCTGACTCAATGGCCTAAAGCAAACTCCCCCAACACCTGGCAATCTTACTGTTTGCTAAACATTACCATTGATATGTCCATTTGCATTCCTAAAGGCAATTGTGTATCCTAGCTAATAAAAGCAGCTGGGAAAGGAGCAACAGGGAGAACTCGACTTCTTTAGTTGAGTTATTCTCTGTTTCCCCCGGTAATTATAAAAATTAATATTCCATCTTGTGTATAATTTGCACATCAGCCCTCCCTCCAAGTCTTTGAACCCACGAAAGCCACGCTGGCCATGGACTCTCGCACATCTTCACAGGAATACTCTTTGGACACCGGTAATACAATTTTTATTACCAGTATTCATTATTCAGAAAATGCTCAAATATTCTGTACTGTTCTGTATTCTTTGACTAATGCACACTAGCACATAACCATCTTCCAGAAAAATATATAGAATATTAGTATTCTATATATTTTATA